AGTGACCATGATGGTGGTTATGCTATTAATCAAATGTTCCCTAGAAGAGAGAAAACTTGAATAACAAAAGTGTCGAAGATTGAGACAGGAATTAATGAGACAACCCAATATATTCGCTTGTTTATTCAAGAAAAGGCCAAAGTTTGAAGATAACTGAGAAGTGCGTGAGATCAAGAAAACCTTTGCTAAATTAAAGCATATAACCATTTCATGGACCACAGCGTTTATAGTTATGTTAATGTATGATCTATAGAATGAGTACAAAGACTTAGGAATAAGTCGCGCAAGCGCAAGAAAAAGGGATGACTTGGGTGGGACGCGTTACCGCGTCACAATGTCCCACGAGGTGTGCAAAGTGGGACGCGTTACCGCGTCACGCTGTCGTCAACGTGTTAACCCGAAAGCTGGGTTAATTTTTCTAAAGGTTGGAAATAAATGGATATCAATCATTTCGATGTCACATTGCAGTGTTTACCAGTGTCGGTTTTCCAATCTGTAGTATATTTTTGTGGCAAATACTTTCCAGGAAATGCAGTGGATTCTTAAATGAGTGAATCTCCTTAATCCCATACTGTTTGCAGTGCAGTCGTTCTTCTCAAGTCCAGCACAGAATCAAAATTCTTACCCGAATCCACAGGGAGAAAATGGAATATTTGTGACATGAGCAACCCTTATATCTCCTTTTTTCACATTTTTTTCAATACACTGGCCATGTTTTACGAAGATGTGTAAAAACGAAGGAAATGCCGAAAATGAGAAATGGCGCCTTTGCAAAAATCAATTTTTCTGCAATGTTCAACTGGCTCTGCGTCAATTTCTTGCTAGCGTTTGCAGCGATGAGGTCGACTTGAGTGGGCGAAGTATCGGTAAAGCGGACGTGTCTCACTATATTGTTCTTGAAATATTGAAACTATGATGCCTCAATCTTTATTGCAACGCAGACACATACGTCTCAAAAAATCTCAAAAGTGTGACTGGTTAGGTTCCGAGGTTGGCTTGAGCACGAAATTTTATTTGTGTACTCTTCTGACAAGTACTGTGTTTGTGCAGTTCTGCAATGTGCTTATTGTTAGTCACGTTCAAAATACCAAAGATTTTGGCATTAGGTTCAGCTAGCAATTGACCCTTTGTTACCGTCTGCTTTCTCTTTCTCATCTGTGTGATCATTTTTCAACTGCTTCCTCTATTCGTATCCCTCGTCATCTTTATCCGTCTTCTTCCTTGCTTCGATTCCTTACTGTCTTTCACCTACATCTTCCGCTTCCATTTCGTTCTGCTATATCTTCATGAT